TGTGTGTGCCAATTTTCAAGAGTTGTTGAGTATGTTAAGGCCCCCAAAAAGCCCCGGAAGTTTGAGAGAGAGAAAAAAAAATCCTTAGAAAAACAAGAGGGCCCTGCGCCTTACTGGCTTGGGCCCTAAATACAGCTGCAAGCAGCGATGGCGGGCCCAAGCCATCAGTGCAAACGCCACCCCGGTGGCATCAGGAAAACTGTGTCCAGCGGGCACATGCATTTACAGTAACCCTCTGGTAGTCTGGTTTTAAGGGATATGGCAATTAAAGTGTTAATCCAAACCATCAAGACTGAGAAACACACATACTCAGAACAATATATTAAACTTTAGTAACACTTTACAATAAGGTTTCAGTTATTAACATTAAGATGTGTAAATAGAGGTCTACACAACAAACACATGAAGATCATATGAACTGAAAGTTTACTGACATTTGTAAATATTTCAATTTACATTAAATAATCATATGTTAATTATTAGGTAATGTTTAATAAGTTCATTAGTAAACATTAACAAGAACATGATCTCATGTTTCTAGCTATGTGAATATATATTAACTAATGATCTGTTAAGCATTATATAATGTTTGTTAATAAATTATAAATGAAAGTTATTATAAAGTGTTACCAGCATAGGTCATACATACCACGTAATATTAGAGTAGGCACCCCTTAGTTTCAGAATACTTACAGTATAAATAATTTGTAATTTTCCAGGTTGTTACCCCTTTGTTCCCCAAACTTTGCATATCGTTCCCTTATACCTACATGGAGGTACTGTATAGGTACACTATAATTGCAAATAAATTACGCTGTAAATTCTGTTTACTTATGCTGTAAATTGCGGGCTGTAATCTAAAGCATTACCCAAAAAACAGTGGTGAAATATCTATTTTTATCTATTTATAATATCTTTCCAAAGATATATAGTTTGTCATGATTAGATTAGGATTTAATTGTAATATAGTGAAGTAAACTTAGGCGTTCTGCCATTAAAATGCTTAACTTATTGCATCACATCCGTGAGTCAACATTTCAGAGAGTCCACTTTGCAATACTGTGACAAGTTATTTTAATCCACTAGCATATATCAACAACAAACTGTCAGGATCATGGACTGTCTGTATGATGTTTTGCGCCTGTTTCTGTTCCCTTATTTGGTCATGTTCCTGTCCTCGTTTTGTTTATTAGTTTGATTAGTCATCCCATATACCTGTGTTTCCCCAGTCATCCCCTGTATTTAAGTCCTAGTCTGTGCAGTCTGTCTCTGTCTACTTGTTATGTTCATGTGTTTCCTGCTGTTCCCAATGTTGGATGTACCCTGTGTTTCTTGGATTAAAGACTGTTTCGTTTATTCCTCGTCTCCATCGTTCCTCGCCATCACAGATTGGAACACAAACAATACCTTGCAAGGCTCAATGTTTCCATGACAACATGACTCACAATAACTCTTTGGGCTTACCTTTGCCAGCTGGGAATGCCTCACAACAGTCCTGTCACACTGTCTCTGCTGCCAAATGGCACTCTTATTTAGCACCTTAACCATTTCAATTTTCAATAATACAACCTGCATTATCTGTTCTAAATCACAAATGGAAACAAAAGAGCCTTTGTAGGGTTTTAAACTTTCTTTTTTTTTTAAATACAGAGTCTTTCATTTCTATGTAAAGATGAATCTGAAATGCTTATTTAAGGACTCCCATCAAGTAATGAGTGGCAGGCATTTAGAAAAGCTCTCATGATGTGTTATATTCACTCTACATACACACATTTGCTGCAGGAATTGCTGGTGTGCTAGATGCTCATTTCAGAGAGAGAGAGAAATGTAAGATGAATTATCTTAAAGCTGCAATGTTTTACTCATGCTTACATCACACTGTAACGTTACACAGTTACTGGAGAATCTTACTAACTTGAATACGTAACTCATATACTCCTGATGTGTAATTTTGCATGGATTATTGTACACATAAAATCTTCAAAATTAGTATAGAGATATTATAGCAATATTTGGCCACTGTTTAAAATGGCCATTTTTAAGATTTTGACATTTCAATTTTTTTTATATGTTTTTATTTTATTTTAATATGTTCACTAATAAATATTGATACTACTACTACTACTACTACTACTTATAATAATAATAATTATCACTCAATAATGATCACTCAAGAGGCTTTAGGACAACAGTGATGGTGTTCTAGATCTAAACATTTGGTCAACATGTGAGAAACTGTGGTCATCCAAAGCTGTGTCCCCTTTGAAGCACGTTTTTTCTCTCTCAGTTTGTTCTTTTTTACACCTAAAATAATATTATTTGAAGAATCTTTTTGCATGCCTTTATTTATAGTACCAGATTATAAATGTAAAGGGATTCTTTATTTGTAATATTTATAGCAGTCTGCACTGGTTTAGCCTCTGTGACAATGTTCTTTCTGCATTCTCTTTGCTGTCCTTACTATATGTTCTTTAGATTGTTTATCATTACACTTATGTCATGTAAGGAAATTCTAATGATTTAGCCTTAATGGTTTAGCTCCTGCGTACCTAAATAGCCTTCTACCACGGTACAATCCATCACGCTCCCTAAGGTCACAAAACTCTGGGTTTTTGGTAGTGCCTAGGATAGCAAAGTCCACTAAAGGAGGTAGAGCTTTTTTTGCATTTGGCTCCCAAACTCTGGAATAGCCTTCCTGATAACATTCGGGGTTCAGACACACTCTCTCTGTTTAAATCTAGATTAAGGACACATTTCTTTGGCTAAGCATTCAAATAATGCATCTCATAATCGTGTACTGCAGTTATCAAATGCACATTATTATTCCTTAGCTTGGATTGAACAAATATTTTTTGCTTGGTTGGAACAGCAGCTACGCTAATTATGTCTCTATTTGTTTATCTGTTTCTGCCACTGGATTGACATCCTGTGGTAACTAGGAATTACACAAGCTTCAGTCTGGATCCAAGATGACCGAACACCTGAGAAGAGATGATGATGCAAACCCCTAAGAGGACCTCAGATGATGCCAACCCTGAAACAACATAAACTACCAAATTTTGCTACAAGTTTGATTGCAACATATAATCATTGGAGTTAATAGTGTTCATCATCTGTTTGATTAGGTCATTAACTGAATTTTACTGTACATTTCTGCCATATGTACATCAATTTTACATGGGATTTTGACAATTTGTATTGTATTTTTAATGTGTTACCTATTTAGTATTAACCTCTTGCAGTTACATTAGCATGACTGTTAAGATGACTTGTACCCATGCATATCAGAATTGTATTTTGTTTCTGGTTTTGACTCCACAATTCTAGAATTAACCTCAAGGGGGAAAATAATCTACTATTTTCAGTTGTAAGACATCTTTCTTCAAAACACCTCTCAGTTTGAAATACTTGAATGGAAATCTCACTATTATATGCAGAGGAATTTTTCAAACAACACATTTGAGTTATGCAAAGAGAAGCCCTAAAAACTGTGCACAAGCCATTTAAAATGAGACAATATAGGCCCACAAAAAGTGTTTTATCAATGTAGAGAGTTGAAGGTCAGAGATTAAACATTATTATCAGAAAATAGGCATGAGCTGAGCTGAGCTTGTGATCTTATATATGTGATCATGAAATAAACTGAATGAATAAATAGATTTAAAGCACAAAAGTCTATATACTATACTAAATGTCTCCTCAGTATGTCCAGTTCATTATGACCTTACTTGTAAGGCGACTAAGAACCCCATAAATAGCAAGATCAAGATTTGTGGTAATGTAATAATGTAATGCCATCTCAAGTGTCAAGATGGCATGGCAAGTTATCTACTATAGTACCTCAAAGAGAATGAATAACTGTTATAAATGATGAATGATCTAGATATGTAATGTAGATAGACAGATATAAAGTGCATGTATATAGCTTAAGAGGCTCCAATTCCAGAGACAGACACATGTGGGATAACAAGCCTTTATCATGCTTATAGACTTACAATAGAGACACCCATGGCTAATTTGTACCCAGAAGCACAGCTGGCGCCACCTCTCAAAAACACAGTTTTTTTCTGTAGTACGGTATGCAGTTCTAAGTATTCTGAAGAAAAAGTTTTCTGTGTTTTTGTAAATTGGCAAAACAAAATATCAACATTTGTTTCGATATATGGTACTGATGATACGGAAAGCACTCTACTGGACTGAGTTTCCCAAAAGCATGGTAAGCCTAAGTAGGTTGTAGAACCATTGCCATCAATGGTCTCGATGATTAACTTAGTTCACAGTGCTTTTGAGAAATGCAGCCCTGGCCTACTGTTGCTATGGTTACCTCAGACAGACTTCTGTACACAAAAGTCTGTTTAATGTGCTCTGACTAGCTTGAAATGTAACTTTCTGTTAGGTGTTGAAAACTCAGTTGAAACGTATACTTATATGTTAATGTAATAGGGCTATATACATTTGAGCACCCACTCCCAAAAGTTCTCTCAGATGGGGAACTGGAGCATAGGTTTCCAGAAGACGTTACGACATTTGTCTTGTTGAAAGTATATTCATACGAAAGTGTACTCCAGCGCAACCACAAGATTATTCTTCTAGAATTTTCAAGTATTTTTCAGGATTTCTACAAAATGGCCTCACACGTCACTGCCCTGTGCGCATGAGCTAAGAACAAAGCAGTACAGAGTGTGATAGAGTCTCTGGGCTCTACCAACACGAGCGTTGGGATGCACGGGACTGAGTGCCTCTATCATGATGCACACTAGATGGGATTTTTTTTCTGTTATAACAGTGCAATATATATTCATTAGAAAGGTTTTTTTTTTTTTTTACAAATCTGGAGGGAAATGTGCAGGCGGCATTATGGTTCAGCACTCTGGACAGCGCACCCGAGTGCGTGCTCCTACTTATTACTGGAGTAATTTTATCTGCGTGTTTAACAGATGAAGAATCATGCAGTTGATAACTTATTCACCACAATTAGGGGCAAATACATCGCAAGGGGACTTCTGAAGTGAGAAATGGACTTTGCGGAAATTCTGTTTGCTTTGTTCATCGTTGTGATTGTGATTGTTTCTTTGCTGTCGAACTTACTGGTGTTGCTATGTTTCATTCACAGCAGCGAAATACGACGCCAGGTGCCAGGGGTGTTTACCATGAACTTGTCGTTTTGCAACATACTAATTTCTGTCGTAAACATGCCGTCCACTTTAGTTGGGATTGTAAAGCACCAGCAGCCTTTTGGGGACTGCCTCTGTCGCACGCTCAGCTTTCTGGAGACCTTTCTGACAGCCAACAGCATGCTGACCATGGCAGCACTCAGTATAGACCGCTGGATCGCCGTGGTTTTCCCGCTGAGTTACTCCAGCAGAATGCGCTACCGGGACGCACTGGTCATGGTGTGTTATTCGTGGCTCCACTCGTTCACATTCTCCCTTATTCCACTGCTTTTCTCCTGGTTTGACTATAGTCCCATTTACGCATCATGCACGTTGCATTTAAGCAAGGAGAGCGCACAGATTAAGTTTACTGTGTTCACCATTGTCTTTCATTCCACCAGCTTCATGCTCTCGCTCGTAATTTTGTGCGTCACATACTTAAAGGTTTTAAAAGTTGCACGCTTTCACTGCAAGAGGATTGACATTATAACCATGCAGACCCTCTTCTTACTGGTAGAAATTCATCCAAGGTATTTATGATCTTTTTTTCAGTAAGCATCATAGGGATGTTTGTGCAAAATTCCCCATTGTAACATAAGTGCCATTAACATTTTGTAAAACTCCTTTGTAGTGTTAAGCAGCGCTGTATTGCTGAACAAAAGAGGAGGAAACAGCGCGCTACTAAGAAGATTAGCATTTTCATCGGCTCTTTCATCATCTGTTTCGCCCCTTATGTCATCACAAGGTATGTAGCCAAAGGTTTTAAGCTTAACATTTTACAAACCATTTGGTATAAACACTATGGAATAATCTGGGAGGAATTGTTTATCATAAAACATGAGACACAGATCTAAAGATATTAGTAAGGCTAATGTGGGACGCAACGAAGCGGTTTGAAGCATTGAATAACGTTTAACTGAACAATGAACGAATGTTTCGCTATTGAAAAGTAAAAGTGTGCCTCGAAATGATATTTAATTGAGTCGTGATACAAGAAAAACAAGACAAGAAAAAAAGTCTAAGAATACGATAACGAAATTTTTCTTCTCACCCGGTTTATTTACTTCTCAGTACCCTGCTAATACGTCACTACCTACATTCTTAACTTCTTTCCCTTCAAATGAAAGTGTGACGTATTAAGTCATGTAATTATTTTATGCAGCAATCGTTCGATATTGCCTTCTTGATACAGTCGGACCATTCTTATTTTCAAGAGACTGATAACAAATAAGCAGAACTGATTTTTAATAGATTTAGTTATACTTTTTGAAACGGTATAAACGAAATGATCATTACACTACTACAATAAAGGCATTATTTTTATTATTGGTTATTTTATATAATTTTATATATAGGTATATAATATATCTATATTTCATATTGTAATAATAACAAATACATACAACAATTATGCCATTTATGCTAGATTGTTGTGTATTTTGTCACAACATTGTCAATTATCAAGCTACACAATTTCTCACTTAAGAATGAATAGTTGTTATTTAAAAAGTTGAGTAATTATTCCAACAACACATTAAATGTTACTTTCAATAGTGCTGTTTATCAGAAGATTCTTTGAAAGAGTTGTCTTATCTAAGTGATTAATGCCTAATATTAAGTATAGGATAAGATGGGGGAGATTTACTTTTAAATTGTAACAAGTTTAGCATGTCAAGGGTGATGATGATGCATCAGCCAATGTGGTATTATAGGAAATAAATAGAAACATTTGGTAATTTAGTTATGACACAAAATGTAAAATATTAAGATCATTTATCACTTAATCATTTTATTATTGAATTTAATCATATAATAATCTATAATAATTTAAACAATGTATGTACTCAATTGATTAATTCATTGATTAGTCATTTGTAATAAATTATTTAATATTATTTTTTCCATTTTTGTTTAGTCTTATGATTGTGTTTTTTCAGGGGATATTTGTCTTCATGAGTAAGATATAACAGAATGTCTCCATTTCAAGATTTTTAACGTTACAGGACGATATTGTGAAGCAGTAATTTTTCATTGCTATTCCTTGCGGTTGTCACGGTACGCTGTTGGAAGGAGTACGAGGGAAACGAGGAGTACAATCAAAAGTCTTTAATCCAAGGAATACAGAGTACAGCCACACAAAGGGCGCTGGCGCAAACACACGTACACAACGAGTAGACCCGAGAGAGACAGACTGCACAGACTGGGACTTAAATACAGGGGATGATTGGGGAAACACAGGTGCATGGGATGACTAATCAAACTAATTAACAAAACGAGAACAGGAACATGACCAAATAAGGGAACAGAAAAAGGGGCAAAACATGACACAGACAGTCCATGTTCCTGACCGTGGTATAATAACACTTGTTGGATTTGTGCTGGTCAGACAGAGTCTGAGCATTGATGCACACTCAACTAAGATTATTCAATAACCTCTGCTTCCTTTTTTATCATTACTTTGTCCCCTCCTTCTGCTCTTATCTGGCTTTACTCTGTCAGTTTCTTGGCTGATAGAAGACTGTTAATATATGGCGTTATTTTTATGACAAATGTCGAGAACGCATTATTGTAGCGCGAAAGCACATTAATATAATGCGCGAGCGCGAATCTCTCCGCTCGCAAGCGGATTTCCTTTGCTCTCGCACAAACCGGACGCACGCGCTCAGATACATGCTGCTCTTGCCCTGAGAGTATGCACGCACATTAAAACGTGTCTCTCCTCTCACTCAAACTGTCATGTGCACTGGCAAATCTCTCTGTGCTCATGCCCTAGATATTAATTATTTTCGTACCTGAATTAAACGTTGTCAAAAGTTATCATTATGCACTTTTAAAAAGTATCTCAAAACAGATTTGTTCCTTGATTTTTTTATTGTTGTATTTTAGTTTTAACATAAACTGGTTATTGTACTTTGTTTTACTACTTTATCTATTTTATGTTTGTATTTGCATTTTATTTTCTGTGAATGCACATATGCATGTCTCTGTAAAATAATTTGTAAACACTTTTAAAAGGCGCTATATAAATAAAGCTTTAAACAATCAGACCTCCACAACTGACCTATGAAAATACTATGTGAAATCTAATTGGCTGAGAGGGAACTGAACCTGGAATTCTTTTGACAATCAAAGATGGATCTTTAATTTATTTCCAGTTTAATAATATTTAGCAATGTTAATGAAATGTGGCCTATATTAGAAATGTCTAGGAATTGGGTGCTTGGATGATTTGTACATATAAATAACCTCCCAGTAAGCAATTTTGTGTTTAAAAGACGTCTATTAGACGTCTAAATATAGCCTAGACGTCTAGGCTAAAACGAGGCTAAATTTGGGCTGTCAGTGAAAATCTAATAGACGTCTAATCATAGCCCATTTATAGACTAGTCATCAATTAGACAGCTATTAAACGACTACATATATACGTCTAATAGACGGTGAATATGTGTCTAGGCTAAAATAAGGCTCCAATTCTGCACAACTTTGACATCTGAATAACACATGCCAATGTCAGGTGGGTAGTATTATATGTATCCGTGTACTTTACCAAGTGTAAGTGTTTACCAACCTTAAACATTGATGCCCATTGACCTGCAAGTTTTCCATCACTAACCCTTTAAAACTCTTTATTCCAGCAGTTTAAGTTTTTCCCTATTAGTGCCCCCGATTGCGACCTCCGCCCCGCAAGACAGGACCATCGGCCGCCTTCACTGTTGTGATGCGGATGCCCCTGAACTTGGGGGGATGCCGGGCGACTGAATCGCATAGCCGAGCCTGACGGTTCGAAGGAGCCATCGAGACGGGCTCCACTTGGCCCGAAGAAATTGGATGGTGACTGATGTACAGTTGTGCTTGTACTCCCAGGAGTTTCCAAATCTGCTGCATGATCTCAGCTGTGAAATGGGTGCCTCTGTCTGAGTTGACTCTCAGCGGCAGCCCGAACCTAGAGAAAATGTGATTCATCAGGAGGTATGCTGTAGTTTGAGCAGTGTCATTGGGTTCTGGAAGGCATTCTACCCACTTTGTGAACTGGCACATGACTGTGAGGAAATACTTGTTGCCTCTTGTTGACCTGGGTAAGGGTCCGACCCAGTCAATTTGAAGGTCTGACCAAGGAAACGTGACTCCTCTGCGCTGCAGTGGGGCTCTGTGGTTTGGGCTAGCCGGTTGGAATTGGCCGCAGACAAGGCATCCTTTCACGTACTCTGCCACACCTTGCTGCATGCCGGGCCAGTATGCCACTTGTTGAAGTGTCTCATAAGTGGCTCTTGTGCCGTGGTGTCCCGCACATGGTGCGTCGTGAGCATACATCAGCATCACCCCCCTTTGGCAGTGTGGCACCACAAGCCTTGGTGCAGTGAGGTCATCAGGGGCATAAAACAGAATGTTGTTTATCACACGCAGCATGTGTGTTACGTGGTATAGCCGTTTGAGGCTTGGGGCAGCAGCAAGTTCATCTGGTGTGATAGGGTGGCTGGAGGGGTCAGAGAGGTGGTGAAGGATGGTTTCTGATTGAGTCAGAAGCTTGCATGTCAGCAATGTCATTAGTGGAGATTTGA